CGCTGAGTGTCCTCTATTAATTCATCAGCACATATCGCCGTCCACTCATTTGTCATTTGGCCGCCATCGTAATTGGTTTCCGCAGAGCTTCCCGGGTTTTTTTTTCTTTTTAATTCCTCGCTCTGCATAAACAAGGCATATTTTAAACTCCGACTAATGAAAGTTTTTAAGATCCTTCCTCTGCTTCTCTTTTTTTGGCAGATTTTTTATTTACATATTTACATTTGGTGCCGTTTTCGAAAGCGCGGCGAGTTGACGTTGGGCTGACAAGCAATATGTCCTGCTTGTCGGAGCCTCTGCGCCGCTCCATCCTTCACCGCGATATAATTGTGTGTTTGTGAAAGTAATTTCATCACCAAAAATTAAGTGACAGACTCATCGCCGCGCAGAAAAAACCTGCTTATACAAGCATATTTGATGAGCCGAGAGTTAATCTGTCCCGCGTATTAAAAGGGTGGGGGAGGGGGAAAAAATCCGTCAGCGAGCGCTGGGCGTTTTGGCAAGGGGGCATTGTCTGCCGGCTTTTCTTCTCTGCACGGAAATTGGATTGCGAGGCGGCCTGTAATAGAGCGTATTTTGAATTCCTTGTCTTTTGTTTTGTCCTTGCAGATGACAGTTTGATATACATGGATCCTCATTACTGCCAATCTTTTGTAGATGTCAGCAGAAAGGATTTCCCTCTCGAGGTGAGGCCGCCGTGGCGGTGGGCTTGGCACGATTCTTCACACTGATTTACGCGCTAATTATGAGCTGAAATTATGCAACGTTCTTTAGGCGCCTCGTAACGGATCTCCGTATAGGGACCGTCGCAAAGAACTGGTTGCTTAGGGATGTAGCGGGTCACGAATGACGTCTCTTCCCGGATTCGTCTGGGGGGCGGGCAGCCATGTTGGATCTACAGCATGTTGGAGCTTTTGGCTGGCAGGAGGGTTGGTGTGGGACTCTTGGGTTCTAGGGCTCATCAGGGTTCATTAAGGCCTCCTTTACACATGTGGCGACTATCTTCCTCAAAGTGTACAGTGGTATGGTCTGGGGGTAGGCAGCCATTTTGGATCTACGGCATGCTGAAACTTCTGGCTGGATGATCGGTGTGGGACTGATGGGTTTCGGGGTCAATAAGGGTTCATTAAGGCCTCTTTTACACATGTGGCGACTCGACTGTCCTCTAAAAGGCGAGCCTCGGCATGGTCTGAGGGGGCAGCCATGTTGGATCTACAGCATGCTGGAACGTTTGGATGGTTGGTGTGGTACTGACGGGGTTCGTGGTTGATAAGGGTTCATTAAGGCCTCCTTTACACATGCAGCAACTCTGCCATCCTCCAAAAAGTGAACCGAGGCATATCACTTTTTTTCACAGGGTAGTTTATAGGCGTTCAGGAGGCAATACTGCTGCCTCCGAATTGCCTGTGTTTTATATTACACCCAATGTAAATTTTGCACTGCCATACAGCAGCTCAACCACTTGCACATGGTTTCTGCATAGTCCTATTGACTGCATGCTATATAAAATTGCACAGCACAAAGTTTAGGTGGCTGGTTGGGGTTGGTAAAATCTCAGATAATCTGCCTATTTTTGCCACCCGTGTGGAGGAGGCCCTACTATTGCATTAAAGGTTAAGAGCTTGTTCACACCTAGGGGAGCGTCTCCTGCACAAATATATACTGGGCGGATGCCGTACACACAGTCCCCGCCACTAGATGGAGCAAATGAGCATCGGAAATTCCTATACTCTTCGGCTCCATCTAGTGGCAAGAATGGTGGTTTTGCGCGCGCTGATCAACACAAGGCTGCAGCAAATGCCTTTGTTGTCTCTATGGCCGGTTTACACCAAAGCATTGTGTTGGTGTGTGCTGGGGACATATATATATATATATATAAATCTTATTTAAAATTTATTTTTGTGCAGTAACGGGCAGTGAGCTCCAGTGATCACCTGAAGGCAGCCTTGCCTTGGGAACAGGCCACTTAGAAAACAATTCTTTTTCTATATGTCCTTACAGTGACTGGTGTTCGAGTACAGAAAAAAAAATGCCAGGGACAGCACATGTGTGCTGTCGCTGGAAAAATTCCAGCTCCATATGTTGCCTATTTCCCAGGTTCATTCTCAGTCTGTTTTGGTATAAAAATAAAAAAATCTAAATGTATTGAGTTGTCACCAAAACCGGAATAGAGGGGCGGTCTTCCAATGTAAATCTACTTTCCTGAACCGATTGCTGGTTATTGTGTTGTCACCCTGTCACATGCTCCCCCTTGTGGAGATGACTGCAACCATCACGTTGCAGATATGCTCCACTTTTGTCACTATGGGGGAGCCACTCCAGAGCTATGACTTGCAGCTGGAGCAAGTGCATGTAGGAGGAAGTGACTGAGGGCCCATTCACACCACATCCAGATCATCACCAGACCAGAGCAGATTGTTACCGGACCCAAAATGCATCCTAATATATCCTTTTGCTATTTCTGGCCTTGGTTCACCAATGCAGTAAGTTCCAGACCAGAAAAATACTGCAGGTCTCATTTTGTCTGGTCTGGAATGCAATGGAACTGCTGGCAGGTTCACACTATTTTCTGGACTAGATCTGGTAGGGATAATGGTGTGAACCTGCCCTGAAAGCAGCTGCAGGAGATCGGCAGTGATGTGATAAAGGAGTCCACCCCCCCCCCCCCCCCCCAA